GATTATGCCATTACCGTTGTTCTATTTCCCCCTCATTCCCCTTCACCCTGCACACCCCTCCCCCACCATTCTCCCCCTTTAGTTTATGACCATGTGTCTCAAGTTCTTTAGATTCTATATTTCTCATACTATTCTTGCCCTCCCCCCTACTTATTTTCTGCCTACATTCTATGTTACTTATTTTATGTACCTTCTCCCCCCTTCTCATTTTCCCACTCCCCTGTTGCTAACCCTCCATGTGATCTTCATTTCTATGTTTCCGCTCCTAATCTAGCTGTCCTCTTAGTTTGCTTTTGTTTTAGGTGTGGTTGTTGATAACTGTGAGTTTGCTGTCCTTTCACTGTTCATCTTTTTTATCTTCTTTTTCTTAGGTAAGTGCCTTTAACATTTCATATAACAAGGTCTTGGTGATGATGAACTCCTTGAATTTGATCTTATCTGAGAACCACTTTATCTGCCCTTCCATTCTAAATGAAAGCTTTGCTGGATAGAGCAATCTTGGTTGTAGGTCTTTGGATTTCATGAGTTGGAATACTTCTTTCCAGCCCCTTCTTGCCTGGAAGGTCTCTTTTGAGAAATCTGCTGACAGTCTGATGGAAACTCCTTTGTAGGTGACTGTCCCCTTATCTCTTGCTGCTTCTAGGATTCTCTCCTTCATTTTAATCTTGGCTAATGTAATGATAATGTGCCTTGGTGTGTTTCTTCTTGGGTCCAACTTCTTTGGGACTCTCTGAGCTTCCTGGATTTCCTGGAAGTCTATTTCCTTTGCCAGATTGGGGAAGTTCTCCTTTATTATTTGTTCAAATAAGTTTTCCACTGGTGGCTGTTCCTCTTCCCCTTTGGTACCCCTATAATTTGGATGTTGGAACATTTAAAGATGTCCTGAAGGTTCCTAAGCCTCTCCTCATTTTTTTAAATTCTTGTTTCTTCATCCTTTTGTGTTTGGTCATTTTTTTCCTCCTTCTGGTTCACTCCTTTGATGTGAGATTCAGTTTCCTTTCCATTGCTATTGGTTTCTTGTGCATTTCCCTTCATTTTAATTAGTTTAGCCTTCATATGTTCCTCTAATTTGTGGCTATAATCAACCAGTTCTGTGAGCATCCTGATCACCAGTGTTTTGAACTGTGCATATGAAAGTTTAGCTATTTCTTCATCGCCTTGATTTATTGGCTATGGGGCTCTGAGTTGTTCTTGAACCATGTTTTGATCTGTTTGTGCCTGTTACATATGAGGAGCTGAACCTTATATGTTCACCAGGGCAGGGCAACCCAGTCACTGGGATGTGACGATATATGTGGGGAAATGGTCAGAGAGGGGCCACCCAGGTCGCTGGTTTGTGATGCTGTATGTGGGGTGGGGTCAGAGAGGGACAATAGCAGTCCCCTCTGCCACTTCCCGCTGCTGGGGCCTGCGCAGTCTGTCTCACTGCTCGCTCCTTCACTGGTTTATTTGCGGGAATGTGTGACCCCAGTCGGCCCTCAGTGAGTTCACCGCCTTGTGCCCTCAGTGGGTCCGCCCGCTACTCCACACCTGGGATCCACCTACCGCTGCGGGCACGCCTGGGTCACATGCCCGGGTCAGTCCAGTGGATCTTTCCTGCCCGACCCTGCTCTGCTGGTGGCTCTGCCCCTCTTACCCATTTGGCTGAAGGGTTCATTGTTGTCAGACTTACATATAGTTAAATTTTCTGTGGTTTGGCTGTGTTTTCGTTGCTAAAACTTTGTTGTTTTTAAACTTGGTTGTGCGAGAAGGCTCAGTGTGTCCACCTATGCCTCCATCTTGGCAGAAGTCCCCTCATTTTTTTTTTAATTGTTTCATCATTCTGTTCTGGTTGAATGTTTATTTCTTCCTTCTATTCCAAACTGTTGATTTGAATCCCAGTTTCTTTCCCTTCACTGTTGGTGCCTGTACATTTTCCTTTATTTTTTTCATAGTTTCACTCTTTCCTCTATTTTGTGACCATACTCAAACATTTCTGTGAGCATCCTGATTACCAGTGTTTTGAACCCGGCATCTGATAAGTTAGCTATCTCTTCATTGCTTAGTTGTATTTTTTCAGGAGCTTTGATCTGTTATTTCATTTGGGCCATATTTTTGTCTGGGTGTGCATACTTCATAGTAAGGGGTGGAGCCTTAGGTATTTACCAGGACAGGGCAACCCACCTTGCTGCATGGTGGCACTGGATGTGGGGCAGGGGTCACAGAGGGAACAATGTATCTTGTTTGGCTGGTGGCCAGCTTTGAGTAACTTCTTTCACTGCCCACAAGCAAACTGTATTCTTCTGGTACTGATTCCTGGGTGGGTGGGTTGGTTTGTGCACTTTCTAGCACCGGATGCTGGGATCCAGCTTTGGCAGGTCTCTGAGTCCCTGAATGATGGACAGTGCAGGTGACAAATGAAGAGTCAGACACCCACTTAAATGTGGGAGAACAGCCAGCCTCTGTGGGTCTGACTGAATTCTCAGAGTTTGATTTAGGTTTCATTTTTATAGAGATTGTAACATAATAGGTACATGGCATGAGCAATTAAGCAGGAAAGATTAGTGCAGAGGTAACTAGAAAAAGCACAGGAAATTCCATAGATTAAGTTATGTTAAAGAAAGGTTATTTTGACCAGGAGAGTCATTAATTAGACAATTAGAACTAGCTGTATGTACAGAGCTTTAGATGTCTTATTATTTATTAAAATTCTTATAATAATTAGGCATGGGGTGTTTATTTTTACATGCTTAGTTTGTAACAGTTAATTAGCTTGTCCTGCTTCTTTTATCTGTCTAATTCTACTTGATATATATTTTTGTCCAAGGTAGTTGAGGGGCTGTTACTCCATAAACTTTTATATATTCAGGGGCTACTTCATTAGGGGGGACTTTGTTCTCTGGCCAAGAAATTATTTTGTATAACTTCATTGGAATTATGTGGATCATTGGGCCTGAAATGCAGATGTCTAAAAATCCCACCACCTATTAATCACAAAAACAAACATGCAAGGGAGATATAGACAGGAAATCCAGCCACAGTTGTCTCTGCTGTGCAGATGCATCTCATCCATCCCGACTGTGTTAAGGGATGGCTGCTGGTTGGCTCCCAACACTGTGGGTCTCTCCAACAAACTCATCTGTGAGGCTGTGAATTTCTCCTGCCACCTCAACCCCCACAGGTTTTTTCAGTCAGAAGTTTAGAGCTTTTATTTCCTCACTCTGGAAACTTGGGTTGTGGTGTTTCTCCCCCCAGTCGTTGCTTCCAGTTTATTTGCACTCAAGTGTGGAACCGCCTGCTCCACCAGTTGCAGCCTCATCAGTCTGCCTGCTGCCACCTTATAGTGAGTCCTCTGCACCCCAGCTGCTCTTCTCTGCCCCTCCTACCTGCCTGGATGAATGTTTCTTCTTTAACTCCTTGGTTGTTGGACTTTCATACAGTTTGATTTTTCTGGCAGTTCTGGTTATTTTTCATTTTTAAGTTTGTTGTTTTCCTCCTTTTGGTTGTGTGAGGAGGCAAAGTGTATCTGCCTATGCCTCCATCTTGGCCAGAAGTCTGCCTCCATCTTAGCCAGAAGTCTTTTTAAAAAAAATTTAAATTAAAAAATAAATAAAAAATACAAAGAAAATCTGTTCTGTTGTTATTTCTTAATGTTAATCCTAAGGCTTGTTCCACCTCCACACTTTGTAAAGTTTTTCCTTATGTAGCCACCTCATAATCAGAGCTACCTTAGTAGATTTAGAATTCTTATTCCCACATGGCTAGTGAGTGGCAAGCAAGGCCTCCAGCCAGATCTTTGGGTGCTGTGCAGTTGGTCCATCATGAAAGACACAATAAGCTGGGGAGAATCGCCTGAGTCTGGGGATGGCCTAGGAGTGAGGTACATGAAGGACGCTGATAAAACGCCTCACCTGTACCATTGTGAGCAAGCCTGAAGTGGGAATGATGTTCCCTGCATCAGTTCCTACTTATGCCACCATCACCCTCACACCTAGATTCATATATTCTCCTATCAACATGAGAAATGTCCAAAGAATTTTTATGAGTTAATTTAAGCCAAACTGACAACGATTGCCAGGAAGCAAAATCTCAATGGATTGAGAAAATGCTCCAGACAATGGCAATTTTGCCACTTATTTTATATATTACAATCAAAGGAGAAGATATAATCAGGTTACATAGAATCCATTGGGGCTATATTAGGAGGAGAGAAAGTAAACAGGGAAATCTCTGTGGTTGGACAAAAAGTAAAAGGAGTAGACATAACTTCCTTTACATAGACAAGTATAGGATAGTAAACCGCTAACAATTGACATGATAATAACAACGAGCAGATATGTGGCTTTCTGTTGCCGTGAGAGATCGTGGCCTGAGGGGTCTAGAAAAAGTGATTACTCAGACATTACAAAGGAATGTTATGTTAGATGCAAAAAGACAATAGATAGTCTCAGTTAAGGTAAAGATTGACCGTTGTCAAGGAACATACCGACCTAGCACAGGACCACCCTAGGTAGGTCATTAACTGTTTTTAGTTAGAAAACTTTAATTTCAGACCATCCTGTGTGGTTACTTTCAGTCTCTGCATTTGTAAGGCCGCCACTCATGCCTCTCCTGAGCTTGACAGGCTTGGGATGTGGCCCCTTTTTAGTTCACACTCCAATCAACCTGGCTGAGTAAAGCAAACGCTAGCGCTGCAGTGCCCCCTCTGGTGCCACTCCATAGGGGACTGAGAAGCAGTACCATTGCCACTTAGCTACCAGGCTGGAGCTGCAGCCCCAGTGCTCTACACACAAACCATTAGGAGCTGGGGGGTTTCGATAGAGGGTGCGTGTGTGAAACGAGAATCAGCTGGCAAAGATGCGCTTCGATGCTCTGTGATATGCCCGGGTGTCTACGAGAAGGGGCTGGACGCAGTCTGTGCGCAGGGATTGGGGGGGACTGGGAGGGGCGGGGTGGGGCCCAGCCGGCGCTGGGCGGGGCGGTGGAGGGGGAGGGACTGGGCCTAGCCGGCGCTGGGCGGGGCCTGCACGGTGAAAGTCGCTGTGCTGCGCTGCCGCCCTCAGAACTGCAAGCAACACCTTGGAGCCTCAACGGCTGGAGGCGCACAGATCACCAGACACTAGGACAGACATGGTGTGCTCCCCGGGAGAGGGGAGCGCGGCCACTCCCGCGGGAGGACCCGGCGAGGAATCAGGAGCCCCCACGCGGCGGGGAAGTAGGCGGGGGCAGTCCAGCCGAGCTGTTTCTTTAAGACCGTGTTCACGCTGACACCCACGGTGAGGAACCTAGCCCCAGGTCCTGGGGAAAACCCCGGGGAGGATGGGCGGGCGAAAGTTCAGATCTCTGGATGTGGAAATTTGGGGGGTTATGAATAGGGGGCACCCCGCTTTGAGCCAAAGCGCCCAGGTGTCTTGTATATTTTAGCGGGGCTCGGGTGAGCCTGAGCAAGGCCAAGTTCCAGAGGGAGGAGAGGCCCCCAGTCTGGCTTCGGCGCTCACTGGGCGTGGTCCTTCATGATCTCGGTGAGCCCAGGCAGCTTGTGAACTAGTGGGGTGAATGCAGGAAGCTTCAAGCCTCTGGGTAGGGAGGCAGAGACACCAGCTACTGTCATCTGTCAGGTGGCCTTAAGCACCCTGTTCTTCAAAAGTTTCCTGAATTGAGAGGTGCAGCTGTGCCTACCCATGGGCCCACATGAGGCATCCGCCAACCCCCTTAGGACCTCAGAGAGCACAGCAGCAAGCAGTGGAGAAGTGGCTGGGCACTGTGCCTCCCTGGCACCCACTGGGGGTTGGCCCACTGGGCACCAGGGAGAAGAGTAGTCTAATGACACTGGGTGAGCAGAATTGAGAATTGTGAAGTCACAGTGTAAGTGGGATGCTACAGGTGAGGCCTTGGGCTGACTGCCTGGCAAGAAGAAAGGTATTGCCCAGGTAGACCAGTGTTTCCTGATTGTGGAAAGGAGCCTTTGGAATCAGCAGGGCATACCTGTGTCCATGGTGGACTCATGAGTTGGGTGAGCCACCCTACCACAAGGATCCCCGTCCCCATCCTCCACAGGAATGAAAGCAGTCTCATGTTTACAGCCTGAAAGCCTAAAGACAACTCATGTCATGGGGAAGGAAAGCAATAGAGACACTGAGTGGCATATGCAGCTGTCTCCCTCTCTCTCAAACCTCCTCCCCAGCATCCTGGCTCTGTCCAACCCCAGCTTTGTGAGCTTTCTGCTCATTTTGGGTAGTTGGCTTCCAGGATTTAGGGTTCCAGGGCTCTGGGGAATATGCACTGGGGAGCAGATGAGTTCTGAAGATCACAACTGATTCCCACCCCCCTACTTCTCCAGATGCAGAGGCCTCCATGGCTGTGATAAGTCTTCTGTTCTTGGCAGTGATGTATATTGTGCACCACCCCTTGATGGTCAGTGACCGGATGGACTTGGACACACTAGCCAGAAGTCGGCAGCTGGAGAAGCGCATGAGTGAGGAGATGCGCCAGTTAGAGATAGAGTTTGAACGGAGAAAGCGAGCAGCTGAGCAGAAGCAGAAGGCAGAGGACTTCTGGAGAGGAGACACATCCAGTGACCAGTTAGTGCTGGGAAGGAAAGACATGGGGTGGCCATTCCATGCTGAGGGCCAGGAGGGGCCACTGAGCTGGATGCTGGGAAACCTGTGGAATGCCGGCTTCTTTTGCCTTTTTCTCATCTTTGAGCTTCTGCGACAGAACATGCAGCATGAGCCGGCCTTTGATTCTAGCAGCGATGATGATGAGGAGGAGGAAGTCCGGGTGGTGCCCATCATCTCCTACAACTGGCTTTCCAACTTCCCTTCTCAGGAAGCCCTGGAATCCTTTTATAAATGCTATGTCCAGAATGTCATCCGTGACCTGCCCTGCACCTGTGAGTTTGTGGAGAGCTTTGTGGACGACCTCATTGAGGCCTGCCGGGTGCTCAGCCGCCGGGAGGCTCACCCACAGCTGGAGGACTGCCTGGGCATTGGGGCTGCCTTTGAGAAATGGGGAACCTTCCATGAGACCCAGAAATTTGATATCCTGGTGCCCATTGTGCCCCCCCAGGGTGCCATGTTTGTGCTGGAGATGAGGGATCCATCCCTAGGCCACCGATGTGGCAGTGTGCTGGTGGAGTCGGAATGCATATGCAAACGTGAGAAGCTTCTGGGGGATGTGCTGTGCTTGGTGCACCACCACAGGGACCACTCGGCCCTCTTGGGCAAGTGCAGCAGCTCTATCAAAGCAGCCCTCTGCACTGGCTCCCACTTGGATGTGTGCAAAACTGTACAGTGGTTCCGGAACATGGTGGGCAATGCTTGGGCCCTTGTGGCCCACAAGTATGACTTTCAGCTCAGCCTCCCACCATCTACCACCTCCTGCAAACTCAGGCTGGACTACCGCTCAGGCCGCTTTCTCTCAATTCGTTTGGTCCTGGGGGTGCAACGGGAAGACACCTTGGTCTACCTGGTGAGTCAGGCCCCTGACCAGGAACAGCTCACCAGTGTGGACTGGCCTGAGTCCTTTGCAGCCTGTGAGCACTTGTTCTTGAAGCTAGTAGGGCGTTTTGCTCCTGAGAACACCTGTCACCTTAAGTGCCTCCAGATCATTTTAAGTCTCCGGGACCTTCAGAGCTTACCCCAAGGAGCATCCCGTCCCATCCTTACCTCTTACCACTTCAAAACAGCCCTCATGCACCTGTTGCTGTGGCTGCCCCTCACAGACTGGCAGCACAGCATGCTCTCCCAGCGGCTCCAGGATATCCTCTGTTTCTTGGGCCGCGGCCTCCAGCAAAGGTCCCTCCATCATTTCCTCATTGGTAACAACTTCCTGCCCCTGACCATCCCGATCCCTAAGAAATTTCGGGATGCTGAGCCTGTCAATCTCTTCCAACACCTGGTGTTAAACCCCATGGCACATTCACAGGCACTGGAAGAGTTCCACAACCTTCTGACCCGCATGAAAGCTCTTCCCTGTGCCCCTTTGGCTGGGGCACATTAATGTAAAGTAAAGGCCATTAAAAATGTGGAGCTGTTGCTGATTCCTCTGACTGCAAGGGTTTATTTTTCAGTTACATCAGTGGTATCTATGAGCTTCATCTTCTGACTAGGAGCTGATAAATTAAGACACTTAAAGTGTGAAGTGATCATGAAGATGGGGTTCCAGTGGGTCTTCTGAGCTTTTTTTCTCCTGACTTAACTTTCATCATGACCCACAGAGCCCAGGGAAATGGATTTATGGGCAGATCTGGCTGCTAAAGAGTTAGATCCAGAGATGGGCTGTGAAGTTTGTTTTGTATCAACACAGGAAGTGAAAGAGTATCAGAGAATACCTCCATTCCAGCTCATTCCTTCTCATATTTTAGGAGCTAATTTTTCAGATCTTCACTATTTGCATATACGACCAAAATGTTTATTTTCTTAATTTAGCCCAATTTTTTAAAAGTGTTTTATTTATTTATTTTTAGAGGGTTGGTGGGGGGAGGGAGAGATAAAGAGAGGGGAAGAAACATTGACTGGTTGCCTCTTGCATGTGCCCCACCTGGGGACCAGGCCTGCAACCCAGTCATGTGCCCTGACTGGGAATCAAACCAGTGACCTTTCACTTTGTGGGATGAAGCTCAACCAACTGAGCCAAGCTGGTCAGGGCTAGCCCAAGCTTTATATGATAATATAGCTGTCTTTATGCATCTGAAAAAATTCCAGTAGTACCCAAATAATTTATTAGCATTGATTCACAAATATTAAGTTAGTAGTGACCTGTCCCATAATTGAGATAATGTATTTACTAAAATTAAATAGCCAGCACCTGCTGACCTTAGTGCCTGGAAGCAACATTATAAAACCCTTGAAGATGATGCTCTTTTGGAGGCTCTGAGATGAATAATTGTTTCTGAGGGGAGCCACTTGTTTGTTAAGTGGAAAGAAGTTTTGGTTATGATGAGCAGCTGTACATTTTTCTCAGTCTGGTAATACCTTCGTATTCTCTTTTCAAAGATCACAAAGGAATTATCTGAACTCTATATGCAACTTTGCAAAGCAAGCTCAACAATTGATCACTGACTGTCAAGGTTGGACTGGAAGGGACTGTGAAGCAGTCCAACTTCAAACAGAGTCACGATTCTGGAAGTGTCATTGATGTATTTTTCTGTTCTGTAAAACCCTGGACATCCTGAGGAGGAGGAGTGTTAAGAAATGTGACAATAGTCGTGGGTGTGGTTGTTTTGGAAATCTAACGTGCAAGCCAGCAAGGTCTGGGGAGGAGAACCTTAGCTCCACATTCAACTTGACCTTATGGGGGTTAAGATGCTGGCCTTATGGGCTTTGGTTGTAGAATCCACACCCTCCACCCAGCAAAAGTAAATTATAAGTGTTCCAGAAGCTGATGCCAGTATGTATTTGGGGCTCCTACTGCTCAGTAGCTGCTGTGCTCCCATGTTGTCTGCTGGTATCCGCCAGGTACTACTTTCAAGTTAAGAAGCAGTGATGGTTTGTTCCATGCTGGTGGGATTTTGATGTTTTATAAACATCCATATGCTTTTTGTTTAGAAAATAATTTGCTAGTGTTTCTATGTAAATCAATAAAGGAGGCTATTTTCTGTATCTGTTGGAATCTGTGCAATAACACACACAGAGGTCAGCATTCTCACATGCCTGTTCCCAAGAATTTCACATTACCCTGATGGCTTCATCCAGCACATCCTGGTGTTTCTTAATGTACCTTAAACCAGTCTGTCCTGTGGTTTCCTGTGGCCTGGCCAGTTGTCAGAAAAGAATGATTCAGAATGTTCCTTAACATTATTCTAAGTCATTCATTTTCATGATGCCCAAACAAAAATATCAGCCACGCTGAAAGATCTTTGTGGCTACAAACAACATACATAAGTTCTAGAGGACATAAGACTGTCAGGTCATGAGAAGGTGGTATCATGCTTAGCTCTGTGCGGTTTCTAATCTAGTAAGAGGCAAGAAAGAAAACAAAGTTATGAGCAGGCAGAAGACTACAAAGGGAACAGTCAGCACAGCTTGGGTGGGGCAGCAGGTGTAATAAAGAGTACAGAAAAAAAACAAACAGTAGGAAGAATGGAGCTGCAGTGTTCTGGGAATACTCTTACAATGAAAGAGGAAAACTCCAGCTATTTAGTAAGCCAGGCTTTCTTCTAAAACAATACCTGGCTGGCACCCAGGATAGAATAGCAGTTATAGTAATGAAAATAGTGTTCATTGAGCATTGCCAATGGTCCGGGCCCTGTTCTAACTACTTCACATCTGCTAACTCATTTAATTCTCACAATAGAACCCCATGAAGTTGGTGTTATATCTTCTCCATTTTACCTATGAGAAAACAGAGTACACAGCTTCCCCAGGAATCACACAGCTGGTAAATGGCAGACCCTGAAGGAAAGCACTTTTCCCAGCAACCTTCCAGCACTGTCTTGGGAATCAAATATGATATAGGGCTTGAAGTTCTTTGAAAAACAAAAAAACACTATAAATTTTAAGGTAAAATATGGTATATTTGGAAATCCCAGAAGACAGAAATTGTTGGTTCTTAGCCCAGTCTTTAGGAGGTCAGGAATTTCCTATCATATACAAAATTAAAGGCATTTTCTCAGAGGTCAAAATGAATGTAAAGTCAGTGAAAACATGTTTATATCTTGAACCACATTATGATATGAGCCAGCTGCAGGCTGGGAGATCAGGGCAAATTTGAAGCCAAAAGATTACTTGTGCAGCTATCCAATTGATAACGCTATTCTTCCTCACCTAAATTAAGGCTGTCTGTGTTCATTTTGGGGAAGTGGAATCTGAGAGTGAAATGAGGAAGGGGAATGGCTTTGGCACTGCTTTTCTGCTGAGAAGGAATAGGGAAGGGGTCCCTCCATTGTACTTTTGTACAGACAGGGTAATTGAGTTTTGCATACCATTGACATCACTGATAAATCATTCAGTCTTTTAGTAGCTTCTTTACTCCTAATCCCCCAAAACAAAGATGGGCATTTGGAGCAGGAGGTGAGTGACCTGCCTGTACTCATAGATAGCAGGAGATGGGGCTGGCCCCTTACTTCCAGTACATGGAAGCCCAAGCAGTCAGGTTAGGAGGCTCAGTTATAACCACAGAAGAGCCTCATGCCTCACCTAACAGATTACCTAGTAGCCTGCCTTTGTCAGGAATTCCAAGCCAGTTCTTTAGAGGCTCCTGATTCTGTGCCACCCACCACCCTCCCAAGGCCCACTGCTGTTAGTTGTGCAGACATGGAATTCAGAGGCTCACTCTCCTCCACTGTAGCACACACTGAGCCTATGCTCATGGGAGTTTAATCTATTACCAGTTCCTCATAAAGCCCAGTGAAAGACAATATTCTTGCCATTGTTTTATAAACGGGGAAGAAATTGAAGCCCAGAGAGGTTAAGATGACCAATCCAGGATTTGAACTTGAGTATATATTAGATGATACATATTCAGGGCTAACACCAGGCCCTGGGAAAACAATGGTGAGCAAGGACATGGCTTTATCCTCATGGAGTTGACAGTCTATGGAAGAGATAGGCACAAAACAGTCACCCCAGCAGCTGTAAACTTGCCCAGTTTTAATTGACAAGTTCTACTAAAGCCTCCAGTTGAGAAGGCCTCTCTGAGCAAATGATATGAGCTAACGGGGTGAAGATGGGGGTGGAGAGGGTTCTATGAGGAAGACATGGTACCCACAGAGACCCTGTTCGAGGAGTAGGCATGGTGAGGGTGAGTCTGAAAGAAGGCCCACGTGATCAGAGGACAGGGAGCAAAGGAAGGCAAGGTGTAAGATGAGGTTGGAGAGGCTGCAGGGACCGGACCCTGCAGGACCTTGATCACTTTACAAGTTCTCAGAACAGCAGAACTTTTAAATGTATAGAAGCTAAAAAAGAAATTAATATATTTCTTGCCAATTTCTAAGTTTTTCTAACTGGGCTAATAAACAGAGATTAATAGGAGAAAACCAAATGTTTAATACATACTCGAGGAATTCACCCAAGTATGAAAATTTCAAAGACAGCAAGGCAATATTGGGTATATATGACATTTTTAGACAAAGGAGAAGGAGAAAGTAGGGGGACAGAGTATTAGATTTATGAAATGAGAATGGGAGATTTACAGGTAGTTGAGAAAGAGTGGAACATACATAGTAGGAAAATTCTTGCCAGGCAATTCAGAAACAATGGGACATAGAATAACTAGCTAACAGGCTTGGGGGCTTCCTGACTAAATACTAGGATGAAGATTCTTAAGATGATTAAGCCAAGGCTCCTTTCCTAAAGCAAGTTTTTCTGTCTGAATCTCTTGGGCAGTAAAGGAGTGAGGGTCAATGGTTCTTTCTGAGTCTTGTTTGTTAATAAACAGCTTAAAATCAATATCCCAAAAAGGCAGCTTAAGGGGGGCAAAAATTCAGCTCCCTTCAAATGGTTTTAGACTTTGTGGAGGAAGTGACAGGTCAGATTTGTACTTAGCAACCACCACGCTGGGCCCAAAGAGAATGGAGTCAGAACCACTGGAGTGCTGCTGCAGACCAGCAAGGTGTTGTGGACAAAAATGAGAGAAACATGACTTCTGGCCAAGATAGAGGCATGGGTAGACATACTGTGCCTCCCTGTACAACCAAAAGAAGGACAACAACAATTTAAAAACAAAAATAACCAGTACCAACAGAAAATTGAACTGTATGGAAGTCCGACAACCAAGGAGTTAAAGAAGATACATCCATCCAGACAGGTAGGCGGGGTGGAGATAGGCAGCTAGGCAGAGAGGACTCAGTGAGGTGATGGATTGTAGAGTGAGGTGGGCAAGGAGGTAGATTACAGACTGGGCAGTCCCACATTCCCTCGCAGATAAACTGGGAGAAACAACTGGGGAGTGGGGCAGACTGTGCAATCTGGGGTCCCAGCATGGGGAAATAAAGCCTCAAACCACTGACTGAAAACACCTGTAGGTGTTGAGGCAGCAGCAGGGGAAACTCCCAGCCTCACAGAAGAGTTCATTGGAGAAACCCACCCACACAGGAATCAGCACCAGAAGGACCCACTTTGCTTGTGGGAAGCAGGGAAAGTGACCGAAATCTGGCAGAGAGTGGAGCAAGTGCCATTGTTCCCTATCAGACCCCTTCCCCACATATGGCATTACAACCGCCATACCCTGTCCCGTTGAACACCTAAGGCTCCACCCCTCACTACATAACATGCGCACTCAGACAAAAAAATATGGCCAAAATGAAAGAATAGATCAAAGCTCCAGAAAAAATACAACTAAGCAACGAAGAGACAGCCGACCTATCAGATGCACAATTCAAAACACTGGTAATCAGGATGCTCACAGAATTGGTTGAATTTGGTCACAAATTAGATGAAAAAATGAAAGCTACACTAAGTGAAATAAAGGGAAAT